ATGTCACCTTACCGCAGCGCCTCTGTGTCAATGCATCCTTCAGCATTGAACCTCAGTGACAATACCCTCTTCCGGCAGAGTCCCAGTTTGAATGGGCCCTTCGAGAAAAGTCTCATTGTCAGTGAACTCTTCCTGCAGGGCCTCAATATCAATGCCTTCTTCCCGCAGGGTCAGAGTGAAAAATGTCCTCTTCCCACAGGGTCTCAGTTTAAATGGGCCCCTGCAGTATGTGTCAATGCCTTCTTCCCGCAGGATCTCAGTGACAATGGCCTCTTCCCGCAAGGTCTCAGTTTCGTTGGACCCTTCCAGTAGGACCTGTGTCAATGCCCTCTTCCCGAACGTTCTCAGTTTCAATAGGCCCTTCCAGCAAAGCCTCAGTGTCAGTGAACTCTTTTTGCACGGCCTCAGTATCAATGCCCTTTTCCCGTAGGGTCAGAGTGAAAATGCTATTTTCCTGCAGGGTCACAGTTTCAATGGGTCCTTCCAATAGGACCTGTTTCAATGGCCTCTTCCCGCAGGGTCTCAGTGACAGTGCCCTCTTCCTGAAGGGTCTCAGTTTCAATGGGCACTTCCAGCAGGGGATCAGGGTCAATGAAATCTTCCCGCAGGTCCTCAGTACCAATGCCGTCTTCTAATAGGGCTTCTTAGTCAATGTCTCTTCCCGCAGGGTTACAGCATCAATGCAACCTTCCCGCCTCGGTATCAAAGACCACTTCTCGTAGGCCGTCAATTACACCAACTACATCTAGGAACTGTATAGATTGTTAAACCTTGAAGCGCACGTATTGCCAATAAAGGCTAGTCAAGAATTCTTCCTATAATATCAACAACATAATCTAAATAACCTGCATTGAATCTAGAAGTTTATTAAGTCGGAGATCAAACCGTACGTCATCAAGAGAAAGCACTTTGTGAAGGCTGTCAACGGTTGCGACATGGACGACATAAATGGATTCCACTTGATCCAGAAATGCAACCCGTTTTGGCACTGGAGGACAGGATGAGCGTAATTTTATTAACATTATTAAATTTCACTTGAAAATCATTGTTTCTTTATTGTGTTAATTTGTTACCAACTACATGGCTTAATATATATATATATATATATATATATATATATATATATATATATATATATTTAAGTTATAAAGAACTTGGTAAACCGAATTGGTAAACCCAAGGAGGACGAAATCCTGAGAGCTCAATGTGAAGAACTGTTGTGGTACGATCCACCTAATTTACATAGTGGAGTACCGACCATATAAATATGGGTTGGTACCGGGAAGACGAGGGAAGTAACAAGAGATCCAATCCAGAGACTCTGCCAGACTGCGATTAAGTCAACCCATTCTACAGGAACAGTCTTCCCAAGAATATACCAAAACTAACTGTAAATATTGTGTACCTTTTCCTTGTTTCAATACATTTTGGTTACGTACATTTTGTGTTGTATTATTATTATTCCATGCTTATCCAAGCTTCAACAAGAACAGAGCTAATATTTAAAGAAAAACAGACCACTTTAAGGTACCATTACAATAATTTATTTCATTAATTAAATTATTTATTTCATTGATTAAATTATTGTAATGGTACCTTAAAGTGGTCTGTTTTTTTTAAATATTAGTTTTTTTATATATATATATATATATATATATATATATATATATATATATATATATATATATATATATATGTATTTGTCTGTAGGTCTTGAAGATTGAGAGCTGGTGTTTTTTAGATGTCTCATGAAATAACAATTATTACCTATAGGATTTTAAGTGTTTGATATTCTTTAATTAATAATTTTGCTTTGTCTTTGACACAGAGCATCCTCCTGGAAATTCCATACGGATTACCATATTACATCATTATATATATATATATATATATATATATATATATATATATATATATATATATATATATATATGTCCCGGAAAGGGATATATTTGATCGAAGTAGCTAAGTGGGTTTGACTACTGTAACCAAGTAGTGCACGGTAGCAGTAATCGACTGGTACTCGTCGTAGTCACAGGTAATAGGTATGGACCAATAGGATAGCCAATGGCGTAGTCAATGGGCGTCGTCATAGACTTAAACTCTGTCGTTCATACACGTCCGTCTGTATTTATGACGGACACCTGCCAATCATATTCCAGTGAGGGAGAACTCAGGTGTATGCATATTCCATTATATATATATATATATATATATATATATATATATATATATAGTGCATATGTTCACCTGTTCTACGACATTTATGCCTCTCTCCTCCATATATATATATATATATATATATATATATATATATATATATATATGTATGTATGTATGTATGTATGTATTGGATGTCTAACCACACTGATGCAGCGAAACAGGGTTTTTATGTAGTTGACTATCTTTATTTTACTTACTACAGCATCACTTGACAAGACACCAGATGTGTTGAAACAAAATGGTTATTTTGCTGTGATGCTATGAAAGATTTATGTTAGAATTTTTAAATAAATATTCGCTCTACGTTGTATTGAGCAAAAAAAAATAGCTGCAAGTTTATTCCACCTATATCAACGTTGTATTCGTCTCTCTCTCTCTCTCTCTCTCTCTCTATATATATATATATATATATATATATATATATATATATATATGTGCGCGTGTGTGTGAGCGTCTGTATGCTAATGTGTAAGCGCACACACATATATGCAACTTCTGTATCAGAATTGATATGTATATGTATATATATATATATATATATATATATAGATAGATAGATAGATAGATAGATAGATAGATTGTAAAGAATTACCTATCATATACATGTAATATGCGTAATATGATGATGTATTACACACACACACATATATACGCACAAACACACACACTTGTATATAATTATATGTGTGTACGTATGATTTTGCATGTGTGTGTGTGTGTGTGGGTGTAATTTGTACCAGGTCAATATATCCTCTTTGAATTAAATTCCAAAATTATTTTATGCATAGAAAAATTAAAGTGTTGCATAATATATATATACTATTGTTTACTGTAGCATTTTATTGTTTTTAACCAGAACTATTTTAGTAATAAATTTCTAGACTATTGATTAACTACCTGTTTTAATTGTTATTGTAAATAACTGCATAATGATGTTATTGCCACCCGGTATATATATATATATATATATATATATGTGTGTGTGTGTGTGTGTGTGTGTGTGTGTGTGTGTGTGTGTGTGTGTAATTCCGCCTATGCATGAGTACACACATATATTTAGACACCCTTATATCTATCCTAAACTCATTGTGACTATCTCATCATCTTTTTTGCCGCGTCGTGATTGGCTTGCATCTTATTAATATCTTTTTATATATTAAACCTTGGATTACAAAATGTCTTATTTCATACGAATCTGACCCCTGTAGAACTAACCAGGCTCTAATATTAAATATTTTTTTAGTTTTTTTTTTTAATTCTAGCGTGATTTTAAATGACGGAAAACAGTTAGTAAAATGTTTTCTTTGCAACGGTGACCGATTTCAATAAACCTGATAAGAATATTTGAAGAAAATCCGAAAAATATCTTTGCCTTTAGTGAATTTCTTAGCTTCTTTTAGTGTTGTTTTTCACTTTTATTTTTCTTATTATTACCAGCAGTTTCATACTTATTGATAGAAGGACCTGATTAAAGTCTATAAACTGATAGATAAGATAGTTTCAAGCTGTTAGTAAAATTAAAGACGTTTTGAAGGAACTTTTTATTTTAAATGACGTATTCTTGACTCAGCATTGAAACCAATCTGTTCCACTTAAAATGAATATAGATAATTAATGATAGTGTTAGCAAAGAGTGGGCCATATGAAAAAATTATTTGACGGGGGAAACAAAATCTGATTAGAACCCTTCGAAAGGAAATAAAGGAAATATATTGTACAGATTAAATATGCCCTAATGTGTAAAATATTTATAATAAAGCTACGTGTTTATTGTATTGTACTTCTAAGTAATAATAAAGCTTTGGTTTCGCATCGGAAGCCGAGATCAGAATATTTTAAAGAAACGTAAATGTGTGCCAGGAACCAATTAATGACGTCAGAGATGAGAGAAAAATATTATCAGAAATAAGATATACATGTTTTCGATTGTGTAAGTCACTTACTGATTTAATCTGAAATTTTGGAGAAGATTAGTGATATGTCCCGGAAAAGGATATATTTGTTGGAAGTAGCAAAGTGGTTATTGACTACTGCAACCGAGTAGGACAATCTAGCAGGTTACCGTAATGGACTGGTCCTCGTCGTAGTGGTAGACAATAGGCGAAGGCAATAGGCGTAGCTAATAGGCGCCGTTCTGTACCTCCACATCAGTCTGTATTTATGTCTGACACCAGCCAATCATATTACTGTGAGGGGGAACCCAGTTGTATGCATATTCATTACATCAGTTAGTAAGTCTTAAGTTTTACTTTTTATACTGTTTATCCCGAATAATAATAGTAGTAATAATAATAATAATAACATATCTTCTTTGTTACTTCTTTGCTGTAATTAATGTCTAAAAAATGAAGACGTTATGAAACGTTGAACTAATTATAACTATATCTATCAAGAGAGATTTTTTTACAGTTTATCAGCCGTTTGCAGGTTATTTAAAGCCAGAAAGATATTTTTTTTATATTGAAAGAACTGGATTCATATCTTCACCACGGGTATGTGTGCGTAAGTGAATATAACGAACCCAACTGGGATTGGAACTCGGCTCTCTGATTAACAATTCCCAGCCATTATCCATTACGCCACCCGCACATCCAAACGTACAGAACCTGCTAATCCCTAACGTTCACCCATGTAGGTAAGTGACCAGGCTTCGACGTTGCTTATGTTCGCTGAACGTACAGGAGCCGATGTTTCAACGTGATATGTCCGTAAATCTTATGAGATAGAACATTAATAATAATAATAATAATAATAATAATAATAGAAAGTGTTTCGATTGGTTAGAGAATTCATTATGAAGTATGCTATAAGATTGAGCTCAGCGAAAAAAAATGAATTGGAATCAGCCAGAGGTGGTAGTAGAAAATGACAAACTAATATTATGGGATTTCTCGATTCAGACGGATAGTTTCATTGGAGCACAAAGCCCCACCTTATTATTGTAGTTAAGGAAAATAGCAAGTGTCAAATTATTGACTTTATTCTTCCATGTAATATTAGACGGAACTCCAAAGAAACGGAAAAGATAGATGTTGTAGCATACCTACAGACGATAATGGGTATGTCTCTATTCACATAAATGCAGTAGTAAATACTGTATGTTGGTCTGCAGTAGGAGATTCATTGTGGAATTAACTTGACTCATGTCTAGCAGTTGACTACTTCTACGCGCCGCTGGCGTAAATTATATGCGTTCTTCGCGTCCTAAGTACTATCGTTCATTACCAACCTTCGTTTGATTATTCTTTTCAATAGCCTTACCTAGGTTGCAACACTATCTATCTATCTTAGCTAGTTATCTCAATGTCTTCATATCTATCTATCTATCTATCTATCTATCTGTTGTATGGCAACGTGGTTCAGATATTCATTTGATTAATAATAATCGATTAATGTCTACCGTTTCATTATTCTTCAGGTCAATGACGTGTAGTCATTTTGTTTGATTTGTAATTGTTGTAGCATACCTATGGACGATAATGGCCATGTTCCCATTCACATAAATATAGTAGCAAATACTGTATGCTGGTCTGCAGTTGGAGATTCGTCTCCGGTTGTGCTGGTCAAATTCTCTACCTCCAGGCTGAAAGGATCCCCAAACGAGGCTATGTCGAAGGGCAGAGTCTCGTCTCGGGAAACAGCTACCAGATCCCGCTTTATACGTGGTCTACAGGGAATTTTTGGCCGAGCCTACGGGCTCGGATATCCCACATTAAATTCGGCTTTGTGCCGTATCTGACCGCGTGGGGCGGTTGATAGATATCCTGCAATTGGAGATTCATTGTGGAATTCACTTGACTCACTTCTAGTAGTTGACTACTTATTCTACGCACCACTGGCGGATCTTATATGTGCTGTTCTTGTCCTAAGTATTATCGTTCATTACCAACTTTCGTTTGATTATTCTATTTAGTTATAAGAATAGAAAATTAGATTATTCTTTGGTTATAAGAATAGAAAAATAACAAAATTTGGCCAGGGAGCTGAAGAAGCTAGGATTCATGATTGAAAAATTAATTCCTACAAAAACTGGAGTGGTTGGAACATCAATTAGAAAATTAAAAAGACGCTTAGAGAGAATTGGAATCAAGACCAAGATCGTAGAGCGCCAAAACTTGTCTTCTTTACGGTGCGATGATTCTCCAAAAAGTCCTTAAGTTGCGAGGAGTCTTATTGGCACTATGCATCAAGAACAGAATTTCTATTGAATACGTCAACGTAATAATAATAATAATAATAATAATAATAATAATAATGATGATGATAACTAACCCCTGGGACATGGCAATTCAAACATAGGGGAATAAAAGCCAACAGACCTGATATTATCATAAAAGACAAGAAATTCAGGAAGTGTATGCTTATTGACATAGCAGGCTCTTAGTGAGAACACCTCCATAAAAATTATCGAGAAATTGTTTAAATACAAGAACCTGGAGATCTAGATTAACAGAATGTGCGAAATGAAGACTGAGACTGTACCAATAGTAATCGGAACACTGGGCCTCGTGAGAAAAGGAATAGACAATTTTACTAACAGCGTCCAAGTTAACATCAACACACAAGTTGCCCAGAAAATCGCCCTACTAGGAACATCCCTTATGCTATGAAAATTAGTGCTATCAGTTAAACGACAATTCTTTTATAGGGCTTAAAGGGCCATAATTTGGAGACAGCTCGACGGGATACAAAGAAGGGAACATAACATACACAAATAATAAATAAATCTGGCTAGCAGCTGAAGAAGATATGGAATATGAGTGTAGAACTAATTCCTAAAGTAATAGGTTCGCTTGAGCATCACCTAGAAAACTGAAGAATCAGTTAGGGAGAATTGGAACTGAGACGAAGATTTTAGAGCGTCAGAAAACTGCCATCACTTACTCTGGGAGGTCTCTCTGAAAAGTTCTTGAGATCTATAGAGTTTTGTTGACATCATACCTCAAAGACAGATTTCCCTTTCAGTATGTCTGACCCCAATATAATAATAATAATGATAAGCCCAATGACCAGAAAACAAACCGAAAAGACTGAATTAAAAAGAAACAGGATTTGGCTCGTGAAATGAAAAGCCTATGAACAGGAATGTTGAAGTAAATCCTAAAGTAATCGGGGCACTTGACGCACTTTTTAAAAACTTGAATAAAGAGCTCAAGAAAATCAGTATTGATACTAACTATACACCTCTGGTAAAATACCATCATTTATTTTGCGAGGATTCCTCGAGAGGGCTTTTGAGCTGCGAAGTATATTTTAACTGCATGTCTCCAAAATAGAATCACTACATTAATGTGCGACGCAAAAAAATAAACTTGAAGCCAAAATAAAACGCAACAAAAAAAGAAAAGAAAAAAAAATTTATTTAATCCTTTCGTCCCAAGCAAGGAGATAAAGCCACTAAGGTTACTGAGAATGAAAGAAACTGAGAAAAGATTATTGAGGAAAAAAGACAATAAAAGAATAGATTTCAAGGAGGCTGAAGGTAATTACTGGCATTATATTTGAATTTTTAAAAATTAGAATTGATTAGGGAACAACAAGTCGGAAGAATGTTCTACAGGCGAGAAGTGCGAGTGAAGTAACTATTAAAATAGACGTTACGTTTCAACAGTAAAATGATGAAACTTATATGCCAAACTAGTTGATGTTTAAATTTATCAAGTCGAGGGACGTTCATCAAAACAATTGGCATGTAAATATTTTTAGAAAAGGCACAGGGAAGCTACAAAGCTTCAAGAGAGGTCTGTAGGCGAAAAAGTCTCAAGAAGCAACTATGAGAACAGAAATTACGGCGTTATGTAGCAATTTTATCAATAAAATGTGACCTAATTGCCAATCTAGTACGGCGCGTAAATTCGAAAAGTCAACGTACCAAAGAAGAAAGTTTATCAGAACAAATGCCAGAAAAAATATTTTATAGAAATGGCAAACGAAAGCTACATTTAGACGGTATGAAACTGATTGAAGCCGAGATGCCAGGTCAGTATTGATAATATTGCAATGTTAAGAACTGGATTTGTCAAGTTCTTTTAGATATATTGACGAAGCACTATACCATAAGTAGCAACAATATGCACTAGAGATGAATCCATCTTAGATCATAAATTTACGACGGACATCAAATTCGACACAGACTTCTGATATTAGATGATCTGAGTCACATACTACGTCAATTAATATCATTATAGATATTTTTTTCATTTCAGTTAAATAAAAAGATTGCACGAGTCAGCAGAAAGATTTAAACATAAAAAAACGAACAAAATGGCTGAAGGCGTGTGTCTCGAAATAAAAAAAAAGAAACAGTGGCCTATATAATCGGCTAAAAAATGAATTCAGAAAGAATAAACATGACTGGGTGGAAAGGATAATCGACTGTGAATTGAGCAAATGACTTTATTCTGAACAAACCATCTGTATATGCACAGACGAGGATCAGTCACAGAAAACAAACCATAGGTCCACTTAATGCATCAACCAATATGAGCCAAAAGACCGGATCCGGAAGTTCTAAAAAAGAATACGTGACAAACAGGGGATTTTGAGAGCTGGGTAATTTGCAAAACCAGAATTTGACGATCAAACCAGTTGTCATCGCCATAATGGTCCAGAAAAGCCTAGGGAAAAGATTAAAAAAACAGAGGAAAATTACCAGTTGGAATTGTCTAGAACAATATGCATCCTTTCCTTTACTAATGTAAGTCATAAGTTGTTACACTCATTAAATGAATAATAAAATAATTTTAAAGTTAGCATATATATGTATGTATGTATATATTGTCATTTTTAGTGATGTTCCCTAGAGTGATATTGCGGTTTATGTTTTTGTTATGTAAACACAGAAGCACACAATGAAAATTTCGTAAGCTACTCAGTCATTAACTTAATCGAAAATCCTTTGTATCTATTTTTTTTATATATATAAATACAGATAATCCTGGCTTTAAGAGAATCGAACGACTATTCTGTACTTAAACTTTTCCATTTTATTTTCGCTGGCAAACGAAGCGGTACTGGGCGAGTGTTGCTGGGCGGTATTTCACTTGCTACCAAGATAAGCTAATGATATCTATCCAGAGTCCAGTTTCATTAACAATGAACGTTAACATCTAATATTTAACCTTGTATCATGGCGCCATTATTTCTGCTCTTTTATTGTTATATAACGAAGGAATCCGAACTTCTGATGAATTACGCTAGAGTTAGCTTCAACCAACATCGTAATTTCCTGCAAAATAAGACATTAATCCGAAATTCGACTCGTGCTCTTAAACACACTCGTCAGATACAGATTGTCATATGGATGTCATACATAGCATCCAAGTCATTCAGAAATGACTAAATAATCAAGGATACACAAGCGTTTTCTTTGATTGATAATTAAAATGGATTCGAGCGAGTGAATACTTTAGGTCTTAAAAAAAACAAACTTTCCTCTGGCATATATATTGTCGCTATACAATCCCAAATAGCTTTACCAAATAACACACCTATGTCACTTGAATACTTCTAACAAAAACTAAAACGAGTAGCACTAGAAGGGAAAATTATATAATCAATCTGTTGACTTTCGACACAACTTTAAACAAAAGTTAGGAGAAAGATGGATAAAAGTGAACTTAAGAAGGATATTTTTCTGTAAAACTGTTTTAAGAATAATAATATATATATATATATATATATATATATATATATATATATATATATATATATATTTTTCTATCTTTTAACTAAGATTTCCGCCAGCTATTCGGTCAATAAATGTTGATGTTTTCCTGTATGAAAACGGATAAGCTTACCGTTATCATTCCGATAATCTTACCGTTCTCATCCCGATAATTTTACCGTTATCATTCCGATAATTTTACCGTTACCATTCCGATAATCTTACCGTTCTCATTCCGATAATCTTACCGTTCTCATCCCGATAATTTTACCGTTATCATTCCGATAATTTTAACGTTATCATTCCGGTGTTTTCTAAATACCCAGATCTCCTGCCTATGATAAAATAATGGAGTTAAGTTATTAGAAGACCCTCCTGATAATAAAAGTTATTTCAACTTCAACTTTTTTGAATCGTAAGACGAGCCCATCTAGTCGAAGCCCACTCTATAGTGAATCATCTGTAATTTATTTTCTACTAAAGATGTCATACAGCAGTTCCTGACAGACATTGACATCATACAATGTCGGATTATTTTGTATCTAAGCCGTCGTTCCGATGTTGAGCCATTATCTCAAGTTTCTGATTCTATAATTTAGTTTTTCATTATATTTCTGAGATGAGTTATTTTAAATATTTACAGTATTTTTATTGTTCGAACTGTTATCCCCATCTTTGTTGTCATATTCCCGACGTTTCGGCCGTTGTACGCTCCGGCCTTCTTTAGGTGATTGGAATTTCGAAACGAGCCTTTTTATTTCGTCCACCGGGTTAGATTGTTCTATTTCCACGTTCTATTCGGAATATTTCGGTTTCAATTTTAGTTATTTTCCTTTAGTAACTCAACTGTTCAAGTTTTCATTCACTTCTGCTATGATCAGGTATTGAAGTCACAACTCTTTGGGTCAAGTCACTGGATCACTTCAATCAGCGCTTTTATCTACTGGGCCATGGGTTGTGAGTTCAATACCTGGCCACAGTAAAAAATGAACACAAGCTAGAAGAGTTAAATTGCTAAAGGGAAATAACTGAAATATTCGAAAAAGGCATGGCACGTGGAACTAGTCAACCTGCCCCGGTGGACGAAATAAAGGTTTTGGTTCGAAATTACAATCACTTGAAGAATGCTGGAGTGTACAAAGGTCGAAACGCCGTGAATAGGACAACAAAGATGAGGATAACTGTCCGAACAATGTAAATAGTGTAATTTTTTTTTTTTTTTAATTTTTTTTTTCTATCGGGCTATTGTTAGATTTGATTGACTTTTCTTTGTTTATTGTCCTTTTAAAAGCATTTTTCCTCTACTCAAAACATTTCTTTCTTTCCTTGTTTGGAATCAAGTCAAAAAAATTCCGCCCCCCACCCCCATTCAATCATTTGGCAGCACTATCGATCCACGAATCAATCAATCAAAACAGATCATCAGCATATTGACAAATCAACCGACTATCATTCAACAATAACACGAGATGACGGACGAGGTGTTGTTGAGACACGTGACCGAATCGTGACACATGACCGAATCGTGACACGTGACCGAGTCGTGACACATGACCGAATCGGGGCACGTGACCAAATCGTAAATGAAAAAGAATAAATAAATAAATAAAAACATAAAAACGGGAATAATAATAATAATAATAATAATAATAATAATAATAATAATAATAAAAATAAAATTAGAAATAATTAAAAAAAATTGTGGGGGGGAATGTAAAAAAGAAAACAAAAAACAAAAATAATGCGAAAAAGAAACTTCGTTAATTTTTTTTTTCAATTTTTTTGTCTTTTCGACTGTTTTTTTTTTTTAAATTGATTCAAAATCTCAAGCAATGAATTTGTCTTTTGCATGTATGTGTGTACGTGTGTGTACGTATATGCGTGTGTGTGTGCATGCGTGTGCGTAATTATGTGTAAAGATTTTTAAAATGTGTTTCTCGTTTGAGGACTGACTCAATAGCGATCGTTAAACGGTTTAGCAAGTTGAAAGCCGTCGTTTTCCAAGTGAGCTGACACGTTGATATATATATATATATATATATATATATAAACTCCTGTTTGTATTATATTGAATCCAAGTTTTCCATGCGATGTTCCTTTTGTCTGTGCCTGTGATTATCCGTGGTTCACTCTGCAGCATCACGTCAAATAACGCCAGTATGGAATTTGTCAAATGTCATTCAACAGTCAAATCTGTCCTCAATATTTTTCTCTCAACTTGTCAACCTATCTAAACTTAAAAAGAAAGAAAGAAAGAAAGAAAGAAAAAAAAAGGAAAAAGACGGAGAGAGAAATGTCATCAAATGTCATCACTGAGTCACACTGAAATCTTATTCCGAATTCTTAAAGAATCCCTTCTCTGTTTCACATTCGACAAATGTGACAGTCAAACATTTAAACGTAACATCTGTTACCAGAACTTCAAGCGGAACACCGCCGGTGGGTGGGTACCAAACTTGTCGTCTGCTACAGAACTTTGCTTTCTTCTTCAGAGATGCCGGAGCGGAGGGTGTACTAGCGGCCGGTGTTTTATTGGAGAAATGCGCATTGTCTAATGTTTGATGGTGCTTACTGGATTTTCCCGTCCAGTGGTCTCTACTATGACTGTGGTGTGAAGAGTTACGATTTCCGTTCGAGCTGGACTGATTATATCCATGATTTGAATTATTATGCTTACTATTTCCGTGTTTATTGCTACCTCTACTGCTGCTGCTGTGATGTCGGCCGCTGTGATGACGATGGCGACTGATATATAACGATTTTAGAGTGACATCATCATCGATGCCCTCGTCGCTACTGTAGTAAAAGGAACTGTGTTTGTCATGTACGTCGGATGCTGGTGCGGTCACAGACTTTTTGCTACTCTTCGAAGAATCTACACTGTGACCGTTGGACGGCAAATGTGACGTCACTTCCGCCACGCGCCCGCGTTTCTCATCGGAAGGCGAATACTGCTTCTTATCGGCATTGTGAGACCGTTCTGTTTTGCCGGATAACATTGCTGAGGTTAACGTGTGCGTCGAGTCCGTAGAGCCGTTGGATCTTGAGTTGCTGAAAGTATTCAACAGTTTTTGACCTTTGACGTTTTCTGTACGGTTTTCAATGTCGTCTGTGAACATGTGGTGATTGAGGTTCGATTGTGGATGGCTGAAGTTGCTGCTGCTGTTGGTGGTGTTGTTGTTGTGCTGGAGGGGGTGTCTACTGCTGTGTTGTTGGTGATGGTTGTTACGATAGTTGCTGTTGTGTTTGTTGTTGGGACTACTGGTTGGACAGGTTTTTTTACTGTTATTACTGACAATAATCGTACGGTCGTCGTCTTCGTCGTCGTCATCGTCGTCGTCATCTTCCTCCTCCTCGTCTTCCTCTTCGGTTTCGTTCTCCTCAGCACCAGCGTCGGAATCCAGATTACTTTCAGCACCGTCTTCCCCGATTTCTTCTTTTCGGTTATTTCTTTTCGGAGAGTCTGCTGCCTCCGTACTTAACTCCTCTCCGCCATTATTATTGGCGGTGGACTGATGATGCTGCTGCTGATGATGCGTTTTACTTAGGTTGTTGTTGTCGTTATTGTTTTTGTTATTGTAGCTGTTGTTGTTGTTGTTGTTCAATGCTGTTTTCGAGCCCCTTGTTGAGGCCCAGAGGTCACCGGAAGTTTTCCCCAAAGTAACGACCGGTTTCTCGTAGGGGACTGAACTCTGACGACCTTCGTCTTCGTCCTCTTCCTCTTCCTCTTCGACTTCATCTTCTTCATCTTCCACTTCCGTTTCGCTATCACTGAGGCATTCTTTTCGAAGTTCGTCGTAATCCTTGTCCTGTTGGCGGGAAAAATCAGAAAAGAAAAAAGAAAGTTAGAAAATTCATTTATATTTCATTAATTTGCTAAAAAATGAATAAATAAATTCAACATTTAGAGACATGGAATAAGTATAAAAAAAAAACATGACAAATAGTTGGCCATTAATATTCAGTGATTTCTTCGAACTAATATCCTCATCACATCAACAGCATTTTCAAAAACACGAGATGACGGACAAGTTGTTGTTGAGTCACGTAACAGAATCGGGACACAGGACATGAAAAAAAAACTATAAAAAGCTAAAAGCAGAAATAAGACGTTTAAAAAATGATGGGGAAAATGTAAATAAAAAAAAGAAACCAATGAAAATAAATAATAATCTTTTCGTCTTTGTGGCGGGCAAAGCTGTATTGTGACACGTGACCTAATTATGACACGTGACCTAATCAATATATAAAAATAACTAAAAAAAAATACGGGAATGAAAAGTAAAAAAAATATTGTGCAAATTGTAATAAAAAACGCAAATTAATAATTAAAATATTGTTTTTAATTATTTTTTTAACCAATTCATTCGAAGCAAGGCGATAACACCACTAAGACGCAAGGGTGTCTACTGGAAGTGAAAGCGACTAAAAAAACTCGAGAATGAACAGGAAACTTAATCCTAAACAGGAAACAAAGTATAAAGTTTCTACTCCTGTAAAAACAGGGAGAAGAATAAACTGGGCGATAGATGAAACTAACTACTCCTATTATTGATCTAAAATTTCAAGCAATGAATTTATCTACCTATATCTCTGAGATGAGGTATTATGATTGCTTTCATTATTTACATTATTCGAACTGTTATCCTCAACTTCATTGCCATATTCACAACATTTCGGCCGTTGTACTGCCAAGCAGTACAGTATGCCGATTCCAAATTTCTGACGGAGTTAATTGTGTCATTATGGTCCTTTTCTCACAGATAGTACCCAATTAACCTTACTATACTGCGCAGTCGACAAAATCAAAGCAAAGAACACGCATGAACGAAATTAAAAATATATAATGGCGACAATTTACCCATCGCATCCTGTATACCCTGTGGCACTTTTGTATCTATGATAAAACATTAACAATCGCTTATGATCAAGAGAGGACATCAGTCTCGTTAATTATTACTATTATTATTACTATTATTATTATTATTGTCAACGCATAGAGATGAGTGCGATTCAAGGAAAGAAAAGAAAAGACAGTGTTTGATAATGTTCAACCCTATTTCGACAGTATTATCCAGATCTACGTATATGATGTGAATTTAAATTTATCTATTATTTAGAACTTATTGATTTTTTTATATAATGCAAGCAGTTCACGTTTTTATAGCAAAATTCACCTAAATATTTAACGCTAAAGAAAACACGAAATGTAGCGAATTATTGCTTTTTCTCTTCATAGGATTTATTTTAACAGTAGAGGTTTCCGTTTATCTAGTGTTTCCTGTTTAGGATTGTATTTCCGATTCCTCCTAAATTCTACTTCCATATTGTATTTCTAAGTTAGGGTAGTCGAATGGTTATGGATAGGGGTTGAGAATCCTTGGCGTATCTGGGGGCGGGGGTTCATGGACGGGGAGTTTTTTGGGGTTTTTTTCTTTTTTTTTGGCTTTTCGATTACTGATTGCTATTATTTCATTATTATTATTTTATTTTTTGTTAGCGCTTACTCGTGGTTTTATTTCACTATTAAAGCCTAATTGCTTATTTTTTATGAATGAAATGGTGGGGAAGATATAGTTTCGTAGTAATAATAGCCTGGAATTTTCGGGAGTTGATGCTAGTACTCATTGGGTAGATTTATTTTGAGAAATATGTATCAGTTTGTAAATATGTGTATAGGTTACTTAATTGAGTAGATAGCATAATTATTTAGTTATTTATTGTTATTAGGCCATCGAATTATTTTAGTCGGTAAATAACAAAAAGAGGAAGGAAATATCGATAAATTAGTATGAGTTACTTTGTAGTGAATGGGGGGATAGAAGTTATGTATGTGTGTCAATACATGTGTATGTGTGTAGTTACATTTATGTGTGGATGCAAGAACGTACATGCAGGTGATTTTTATCTGTGCGTTATTTTGTTTGAATAAGAGAATAAGAAAGTTATAGATTGACCTGATAGTTAGAATAACGAATTTCTTTTTAGAAAGTGCTAGTATAGGATAGATTTGGGTTGAGTACACGGGTAGGTTTAGTTAAAGATTTAGTATCGCTATGGGATTAGTATTTAATATGTAAAACATGGACTTATACTATGCAATAAAGATACCAGCTCACCTCGTTATGGATTCCGGAAGTAGTAAATCTAAACCGGATGTAGTAAAAAGACATCACTATATAGTAGACGAGCGTGAAAAGCCCTGTTTTCATTGGCTGACGCTGACTGACATATGTCAAATAAGAACGGCCGATGTCCAGCCTTGCTAGTTCTTATGATTAATGTTTTTTTTTTTTTTGCAATGTCGCGGTGCGTAGTACGACATTTTCAAAATGGCGGTCTGACTCGTCTAGAATCAGGACGGAGTTGCTGGTGGAGCCGATATGTTGCGAAACCCGAAATCGGCGATGAGAACAGTGCATCACTGAAGACCACCCTTGATGCATCTAAAATGTATGATTTAACTAATGTTTCCGACTGAACGCTGAAATTCTATTCACAAATTAAATCTTGTCATCTAGTGTAGTTTTTTAATCAGTATCAAGCCATGTAAGGCAGTAACGCTACATGGGGTTACAGGATGTGGAGGAATTAGAAACAGTAACATTTTCTTACTCTCATACAACACCACACAGTAATTCTCTACCTTGAGTGGATCTTGGGCCTTGTACTGGGTGAATATTGGTAAATAAATCAATATACTCGTTCACTCATCGTTTTTGAACTGTTTGTTCCCAACGGACTGAAAGCAGAATATAAAAGCCTAATAAGTACTATGTATGATTGTACATCTATCGACTATGAGTGTAGGAGATACTAGCTATAGTAAAAGCAGCTAGGCTGCGAGCGAGTCGGTCAGAAAATAATGACGTTTGTCTTGTTTGCTCCTGCCTGTTTACTAGTTAACACTTGTAATGAGTGTTGAATGGGTTGAAAGAGAAAAGAAGAAGACAAGAAACCCTGTACGACTTTTAACCAATCAGAAACCGTGAAATAAAGAGAAGGTCGCTTATGCACTTTACTTTCTTCATAACAACACATTTCTCTCTCTCTCTCTTCATCCCCTCTCTCTCTCTTTATCTATCTATCTATCTATCTATCTATCTATCTATCTAACACAGTCTTTCATATCTATCTACCTCAATATTTCCATTATCTATCTATCTATCTATCTATCTATCTATCTATCTATCTATCTATCTATCTATCTATCTATGCTTGCTCTTTCCTTCCTTCCTTCATTTCTATCTATCTATCTATACTTGCTCTTTCCTTCCTTCCTTCCTTCCTTCCTTCCTATCTATCTATCTATCTATCTATCTATCTATCTATCTATCTATCTATCTATCTATCTCTTTTCCCGCTTGTTTATTTGAGTTTAAAAAAGAGAGGAAGAAAACGTACAATATTTCCCTCTTCTTTTCTTTCATTTATTCTTTTACCTTTTCTTCTGATCGGAATTTTTTAACTGGAACAAGGCCACAAATAGTGAGCACTCACTGAAGATCAAACACGATATTCTACGGCATGACGTCCTTAAACTTAGCTTTGCTTTTTATTACAGTAATGTTAACTCTGTACAAGGCCTGGGGGTCACTCAAGGTAGAGGGTTACATTAAGGGGTAGCCTATATGAATAGGAGGGAAAGACAACGGTTAACTCTAGACTTGAACAGGTTAAGATTGTAGTAATCGAGGAAACAACCTCTTGGGAGTTCTGTTCCACAGAGCAGTGGTTCGTGGGAAGAAGCTGTTTGCGTGAAACTTCCAGCCGATGAAATATGAAAGGAATGTGGTTGGTTTGCTACTATGTAATTGGCATGCTGGGTCTTAGCCATGAGAGTTCGACCTGGGGCGGAACCAGGGAATATGGTTTCTTTTTTTTATTTTAATAAAAATATTATTTTATTTTCAGGTTATAAAAATGAGTGTCGATAACCATACCCTCCGGAATAATCATTTAAATATTATTGTTGAATTTTTATGATTTTTTTTTCATAATAACTATTGTTTAAAAAAAATTCCCGATAATTATGCACCAACCCAATATATATATATATAGAGAGAGAGAGAGATAAACCTAGTGAGCCAGACAAACCCACCCAGGTTTCACCTAAGCGAATCCGCTTAGGTGAAACCTGGGTAGGTTTGTTTGGCTCACTAGGTTTATCTAGGTCTGCTCTGCGGTTGTATTGAGCTCTTTTTAGTTAGTTGTTTACTCGTGTCGGGTTTTTTTTTTCTTTGGGCTTTGAACCTGTATCTGCGATTTTTTTCGACAGACTTTCATGTTTGTAGCTCTTTTTTTTAAAACCTTTTCTTCCCTCGAGATTTATTTGATTATTGGCAAATCAAAAAATTCGAAGGTTTTTCGAAACGAGTATATATATATATATATATATATATATATATATATATATATATATATATATATATATATACTCGATACTCCCGTCAATTCGACGTATGTAGGTCAAGGAGATCAGTTCCGAGGAAGAGACAGCTCAGACACCAGCACAGGTTATAAAAATGTGTGTCGATAATTATACGCACGGGAAAAATCATTTAAAAATGTAGTTGTTGAATTTTTATGTTTCTTTTTTCATAATAAATATTGTTTAAAAAATACCTGATAATTATGCACCAACCCAATATATAATGTAAGGAAAACAATTTTCAATGCTAAATAACAGAGCTATTTAAGATATATATATATATATATATATATATATATATATATATATATATATATATTAACAAAATATATAATACCTTACATTAATTGCAAATCTCCCAGTTTCATGCCGATGCAGTTGTTAAATATTGGAATTATCACACACACACACACACACACACACACATATATATATATATATATATATATATATATATATATATATTAATTTAAAGAAAAAGAGAGAGACTCCATTTGTAATAATTTATTTCACCAGAGAATTTTGTTTTTCTCTGGATCTTCAGACTTCACTTTCAAAAGGTGAAACGAAAAAAAGAATTTAAAATTTACACTTTTGACGGGCAGTATTCTTTTTTTATATAAGTTGACATAGAGGGTGGTGAGGAATGGTATATATATATATATATATATATATATATATATATATATATATATATATATATATATACGATGTCTGATCAAACGATATAGGGACTGTTGCTACGATACCGGAGATAAAGTATGATAGGTTTGCTATTATATAATTGGCCGTGAGACTTAGAGCTGGTGGAACCAGGGAATATGGTTCGCCTGACCACTTTCCATGGAAGCAGAGATATAGCAGTAAGAGACATGTCACATCCCGCCTGTGAGAAAGCGGCTTTTATATTCCATGTCCCTTCGGAACGTAAGCGATGATGAACCTCCATTCTCCCCTGGCCCTTGTTGCCATTAATAACTTTCGTGTTTTTTGTTAATTCCCCCAAATCCTATTCCGCCATCCATTTGCTCAAGCCGATCAAGTATGTTACGAGCTGCTTTCCTCTGTCCCTTCCCTCCCACCTCAATCTGTCCTGTGAGTATCAGATTTTCCAAGCCCTCCTTCCTCATTACGTCCCCCAGAAATTTGCCTCTTCCTGATGTTAAGTATGAGTTTCTTCTTAGTTTTCATTCTCTCCAAAACCTCTCCGTTGTTCGCATGTTAGTTCATGGTATCCTCAGCATGTTTCTGTAGAACCACATTTCTGTGGCTTCAAGCGTCTTCTTCATTTTGAGAAGATTGTCCAACCTTTACTGCCATACAGGAGGATAGATATCACGTAACAATTCAGTACTCTTTTCTTTGTTTCTACCGAAAATTTTCTGTCTCTTAATACTCTGCTTAGCTTTGACAGTCACAATATATCTTCGGATCTCAGTGTCGCACTTTCTGTCCTCTGTTAGAACACTGCCAAGATATTCAAATTTCTGAACGTGCCTGACTTCAGTATCCCCAACCTGTAATTTGCATTTTGAGCTCACCCTTTTTGCTGATAACCATGAATTCTGTTTTCTTGTAGTTTATGCTTAGTCCTTTCTTCTCGTTTTCCTCCGCTACCTTCGGCAGATTTTGTAGTTTCTTTTTCGTGTCTGCTATCAGCATTGGGTCATCTGTATATCTTAGTTAAGACTGTGGCCGTCAATAATGAATGAAGGACTTCTAATTCTCTCAGAATAGTCACGCTGTATAAGTTGAATAAATCCGATGAGAAGAAATATCCTTATCTTACATCCCATTCTATTTTAGTTCATCTGCTGAACTCATTTTCATGACTATGCCTTTCCCGAATATGTCAAGGTTGCGGAGCAGCTCTAACAGATCTTTGTGGCGTACTTTGTCAAACACCTTTGCGTAGTCTATAAAATATAGGTGCATATCCTTCTGCATTTCTATTGCTCTTTCTGATAACATTATGAGCATAAATATCGCATTCTTTGTTCCGGTGTCTTTGACGAACACTCACTGTTCTTGTTCTATATCTGGCCTGATCCTTTTGCGCGATCTCTTCATTAGAATTCGGATGATAAGGTGTGTTATGTGGCTCTTTAAGCTGATTCTCTGGTGCAGTTCAATTTCGTTTGTGCCTCGTTTCTTAAGCAGCTCTATGAAATGCTTATCTGCTTCGGTCTTCCGGTATCTCCCCACTGTTGTAGATTTCATTTATTATTTCTGTAATCTCGTCTATGCGGAAATCGTCTAAGTCTGCCAGCATCTCTTTTACAGACCCGTCTGGCCCTGCTGCTTTGTTTCTGTTCAATTTGGCCAGCGTAGCTTCTACTTCGGTTTTTTAATATTTCCGGTCTCTCGGTATTTCTGGTTGTTCTCTTTCGTCGTGAAAGATATCCGATATATTCTTACAGCGCTGAAGTAGTTTTATGTCTCCAATATGAAAGTTTCATCGTTGGATTTTATGCATCCTGTTGATGCGAATGTCTTTTGTCCAGTTCATTTATTTTTTATGCATATCTCCTTTGTCTGTGATACTCAATCTCTCTATTTTCTGAACATTATTTCGTTGAGCCATTCTTCTTTATCCTGCTTGCATTTTTTCCTTATTTCATTATGTAGTTTTCTCTATTCCGTTCCTTGTCTTAGCATTGCTTTCTGTTTCCTTTGCATCATGTCCAGAATCTCATTTATCATCCATTCGTTTCATCTTCGTCGTCCATTTTCTTTTGGAGATCATCTCGTTTGCTGATGCCACTAAAGCTTCTCTTACTGTCTCCCATTTCGAGTTTCCATTTTCATTTTATCCCTCATATCTTCTTTTCATGCTGTCCATATATTTTTTTTTCGGATTCGTATCGTTCAGGAGTTTGTTGTATTGCAATTTCGGTGCTGCCTTAGACTTCTTCATTTTCCGTAGTTTCATTCCTAGTTTAAATATAACAGAGTGGTAATCGCTTCTGCAGTCGGCACTTAGATAGGTTTTGCAGTCAGGTAATAATTATGGAGTACCCAATGAGGATCGAATATATTACATTAATAAAAGTTAATATGACGAGCGCGCTAACAATTGCTGCATGATGAGGCACGATTAAATATTTACAATACTTTGGTTAGTCTGGTACAAGGTTTGATATATTGAGTTCCAAATAAGAATAAAAAACTGTATATACATGCATGAACTTATTTCTTTCGTTCTTTCTTTCTTTTCATTATTGTTTTCCTTCTTTTTTTTAAATTATCATTTTTTCCTCTCTCTTTATTTCTCGTTTTATTTTCATCGCTCTTTTTCTCACACACTCTTTTATTCTCTCTTCTTTTCTTTCTTCCCCCCTGGTTTCTCTGCCTTATTTTCTCTATCTCTTTCTTTTTTGTTTCTATCGTACGCGTTTGTTTTCTCTCTCTATTCCTTTCTTAATTTCTCATACTATCTTTCCCTTTCCCTTTTTTTTTCTCTCTTTCTCACTCTCCTAGTAATACATTCTCCCGTAGTAATGATGATGATGAAATTGGCCGAGCAGGTCATTGCCTCTAATAAGTAGTTCATATTTAGAATTTTAATCGCTTTTAGCTTCAGTTGTTCACCTGCTAAATCATATCTAAATATAGTAATTAACATGTGGTAAATAGATTTTGCTTCTATTATAATATATATATATATATATATATATATATATATATATATATATATATATATATATGGAGTGAGAGAGAAACATAAATTTAGTAGAACAGGTGAACATATGCATTGATATATATATATATATATATATATATATATATGTGTGTCTGTGTGTATATATATATATATATATATATATATATATAAAAAATGTGTCTGTGTGTGTGTGGATATATAGACACACACACACATATATATATATATATATATATATATATATATATATATATATATATATATATATATAATGAAAAACA